CGCCACAGGCATAGGCGGCTTGTGGGCGTGGCATATTCGCGTAACAAACTTGCGGTGCTACGGAATCTAAATCTGAAATCCCAATTCCCTATCTTTAACAGTTTCTGAAATATCCGCATTCATACCTAAGATTTTTTGAAGTTTGTTGGCGGTTTTTGGGCGTTAAAGTGGGTGTAAGGATTTAGTATTTAGTTTGAGAAAAATATGTATTGTTTTTGGTATTAACTTGAATTGAAAAGAAAAGAAGTTTGATTTGTTATGAGCTGGTTATACTGGCAATGTGAAAAAAATAGTTGTGAAAAGTTGACGCGCTAAGAAAGCACAAAATTGAAACGCATAATAAATATTGAAAATGACGATTTTTGTGTATTTGTCTGAACATCTTTCAATTTTGTCTTGTAAATTGAGAAGCGTTTTGAATTTCTTAGAGCGATCTGAAATCTGTGTAAACTGGAGGAAGTTCAAAGTATAGCTGTCACAGACCAGATGCCGTTATTGTCTGTAGGCATATTTTGAAGCAAGTTTAAAATAGACACCGATCAACATATCAACACAATTGCTGTCACAGACCCGACGCTGCTACTGTCTGTAGGCAATTTGTTCATTGTGAAATTCAACAGAAATCTGTGAAAGTGTGCGAAAAAGAACGCCAAGTTTTTGACGTATTGAATACAACTACAAGTACATGTAGACACAGAACCCGTTGTGCACCAATTTTACCGTACTCAATCTAGACTCTGCAAGTCTGTTCGAAAATTGTCTCAGGAAGCGGAGAGCGTATTTTTGGTGACCAAAGAAGGATATGAACAGGGGCGTAGCTAGCCGCCAGGGTAAATATAACACCCCCAACGTGTCGCTAAAATTCGCTAAATGAGCCAATACAATTTAAGAAGCAAAAAGATGAGTTCCACCGATCTGATCAGGAAAATTTGGACAAAACCATACTCGAAAGAACACATTAAGATGTAGGAGAGGATATACATAACAAAATTGTACAACAGGGAACGTGTGGTATCGCACAACGAAAGATAGGCAAGAGAACAACTCCGAAATTGTGGCCATACTAGCAGCGCTCCGAACAGAAAGAAAAAAATTATTGAACATGATATTCGAAATGCACATTTAGGAATACAGAGTAATCAACGTGACATTAAATCTCCATCTGATCGACAATTGAGGCAGTTTGAATGTGAACGCGACACGCAATACGATGAGAGTAAACATAGAACGGGTGAAGAAGACAATACTGACACCAACGGATGCCTTGATCAACCTTTGTACGGGAATATTCAAAATCCTCAGGGATCCACCGCAGTCCTTCATGATCTACCTAAGTTTTCTGAAAATTCTGAGGAATGCCCGCTGTTCAAAAGAAGTTTTGATGACTCAACATCTCTTTTTCAGCACAATAACTTGCAGAATCTGATGCGTTTACGAAAATGCTTGGTTGGGGAAGCCAAAGAAACAGCGGCATCCCTACTTGTATATCCCGATATATTCCGAAGGACGAAAAGAAGTAGTGAACCAAGTATATGGCCTAAGGACCCCAAGATGGGCAGCAAAAAGTCCAAAGTGGACGGCAGCACCGCCAATGTGATTAACACCGTAGAGATCGTTGACCACAAGAACGATATTCAAGATGTCAACAAGACCATGAAGGTCATCGTTGGACTACTTTTAATTCTAGTGATCCTTGGGGTGGTTAAGATGTACAAGCGCTCTGTTCAGAGACGCCGCGACCAACATCACGCCCTGGAGAAAGTGGTGACCCACATCGGAGCATAAGCCGAGCAGATGCAGTGAAGTGAAGCATCAAAAAGACAATAAAAGGCGAATAAATTGCACTCCAAAATTATAAACAAAAAGTGAATCGCCAAAATCAATTATAAACAATTTTCGAGTACATGCATTTCTGAATGCAAGTGTAAACAGAACCCCCAAATACACACGCTGAACAAGAAATTGAAGCTGCACCGAGCAGCCACAGCCCGAGCATTGGAACTGACGTGTGCCGCAGTGGAACTCTCATACGATGCATAGATACATACATATCTATACAGCGATAGTGGTATTTTTTTTTGTGTAACGTAATTTGTGTGTTATGTTTTTGTGAACCGCCATCAAATCTTGCACGTATATATATATATAATCCCATTATAACATCTCCCAAAGCCCAGGCTCCGGAGCGTCGAGGTCTCATCGCCCAGGATTAAAAGGAGGGTAAGATGGTCGGAACACGGTTCCTTTCTTATAAATAAATATATATATATATCCGTGCACCATGATCACTTCAGAAGCTTTAGCAAAGACTATAAACAATGAAACAGTTTAACGTAAGAATTCTATACTTGTTATCCGAAGCAAAATTACCAATAACTGTGCATGAATTAGAGTACTTATACATTGAGACCTTCCGTCTAAATTTTTCACCACTTGCCCACTGTAACAAGACCGAAAAGGCAATCATTATCTCTACCGTTCCAACGGTCATTGTCCTTTCCCGTTTAGATAAGAATTTATTTTTGGGCAATGTTAATACCTTCCTAGTTAAGACCAAGAATTAATCTTTTAGGAATTCGTATAATAATATTCAAATATAATAATTAATCATATATAATCATTTAGATATACATTCCTCTTTTTATACATTTTAAATTTTTATATATAATAATTAAATGTTAATTTTTCAGCGGGGAGTATCAGTCTTGTAATTGTATGTCAATTGCAAGAGCCCTCTGAGCGACGTTTGTAGTCGTGAATAGTCAGCATTTTGCTGATCTTTCCATATGAATTAGCCAACATTATGTTACTTTTCCACGGCGCACGCCGATATAAGTATTACCCAATAAATTTGTAATGTAAAAGAATATCAAAACATGAAGTGCTAGAGCTTTATTAAGGGGGGTGTGCTGACGCCAGAAGTGGAGTAGGTCAAGAACAATGACATATCTTTCGATGGACAACCTTGACAATAGGGGATCGTATTGCGGCGCCCGCGTCGATCCATTGGCACACGAATGTGTGAAGGGGAGGGAATATGGCCAAAACACAGCCCGATCGTATTGCGATCAAGTGACAGCTAAGCTTGTTGGGCAGTGTGGACTGATGACTGACGAAATTTATGACTAATATTATTTTCCAGGCACTTTTAATATTTATTCTCTTTATGTTGGAGATGAGAGAAGCTTACCAAGATCGCCGACGTAGCTTATGCCGGCAAATGGTGCCTGAACATCGGACGCCTCTCCCTCGGCCCAAGTCCCTGTCAGGACTCGGGCACTAATATGCCCACGTAATTATAATTTATATAATTTTAAATATGCACCTACTTACTTGTTTGTCTTTAAATTAGTAACTGTAAAGCCCCCAACTTCTGAGAACGTTAGTGTTGAGAGGCCACTCAATCAGAACTTTGTCGCAGGATAGAGACCTGACTTTGAAATGTTTTTTTAATCGTAGAATTTCCTGTTGTGTTCATGAGCAAATTTACCAGAATTTCCTAAAATCAAGAACTATGAGTTATCGTTTTTATAATACTATACTCACAACTGCGTGCTGAGTGAATATTTTGAATTTTTGACTTTTTCCCAGTGCGGAGTAGGAGAGAGAAGGAAGCGAGAAGCAACAGCGTTCTAAAAACAGATTCCCATACGTGTGAGGGTTGCTTTGCAAAAATTACGCCTGTATACATTTTCTTACTCCTCGTTACGCATCCTGGAATTCTATGGTCTTTGGTAAGATTTAGTTTGTTATTTATTTAATTAAAATTAATAGTTTTGCATTGTTAATATAGTTATTTTCGGTTACAGTAGTTGTTTATCCTTTGTTAAAGTTTCGTGGGTGTGCGCTGTAAAGTTTTCGGCCCCGGCAAACGTAATAAATAAAGTAGAATCACAAAAGATTTATATGGAAACAATGCGGGATTTTTTTTTAAGTTGTACAAATTGCACAACAAGTGTCTAAAAAAAGTCTCAGATCTAAAATCGTGATATTATTAAAAGTAATGCCAAAATTACAAAAAAAATATTTGTTAATTATACACACAGAAATAAAATTGTTTACCAATAAAGAACATTTTAAAGTCAAACTAATACACAAATAACAAGGAAGAACGCTATAGTCGAGTACCCCGACTATCAGATACCCGTTAATCAGCTAAACAGACAAAAGGGAAATGGAGGTATGCAAGCAGCAAAGCGAGATTGAAACGCGCCACCTACCCGAGGTGTCAATATATGGTTATGTGGGCGGTAGACAGGGTTACGTGCGTTAGAGTGAGCGTGGCAAACTTTTTTTTGGGTCAATCGATAGGTGTTGACGAGACCAATACATTTCAATTAAAATGTTTTCCTAGCTTGAAAATTGTGGGCGCCACAGGCATAGGCGGCTTGTGGGCGTGGCATATTCGCGTAACAAACTTGCGGTGCTACGGAATCTAAATCTGAAATCCCAATTCCCTATCTTTGACAGTTTCTGAAATATCCGCATTCATACCTAAGATTTTTTGAAGTTTGTTGGCGGTTTTTGGGCGTTAAAGTGGGTGTAAGGATTTAGTATTTAGTTTGAGAAAAATATGTATTGTTTTTGGTATTAACTTGAATTGAAAAGAAAAGAAGTTTGATTTGTTATGAGCTGGTTATACTGGCAATGTGAAAAAAATAGTTGTGAAAAGTTGACGCGCTAAGAAAGCACAAAATTGAAACGCATAATAAATATTGAAAATGACGATTTTTGTGTATTTGTCTGAACATCTTTCAATTTTGTCTTGTAAATTGAGAAGCGTTTTGAATTTCTTAGAGCGATCTGAAATCTGTGTAAACTGGAGGAAGTTCAAAGTATAGCTGTCACAGACCAGATGCCGTTATTGTCTGTAGGCATATTTTGAAGCAAGTTTAAAATAGACACCGATCAACATATCAACACAATTGCTGTCACAGACCCGACGCTGCTACTGTCTGTAGGCAATTTGTTCATTGTGAAATTCAACAGAAATCTGTGAAAGTGTGCGAAAAAGAACGCCAAGTTTTTGACGTATTGAATACAACTACAAGTACATGTAGACACAGAACCCGTTGTGCACCAATTTTACCGTACTCAATCTAGACTCTGCAAGTCTGTTCGAAAATTGTCTCAGGAAGCGGAGAGCGTATTTTTGGTGACCAAAGAAGGATATGAACAGGGGCGTAGCTAGCCGCCAGGGTAAATATAACACCCCCAACGTGTCGCTAAAATTCGCTAAATGAGCCAATACAATTTAAGAAGCAAAAAGATGAGTTCCACCGATCTGATCAGGAAAATTTGGACAAAACCATACTCGAAAGAACACATTAAGATGTAGGAGAGGATATACATAACAAAATTGTACAACAGGGAACGTGTGGTATCGCACAACGAAAGATAGGCAAGAGAACAACTCCGAAATTGTGGCCATACTAGCAGCGCTCCGAACAGAAAGAAAAAAATTATTGAACATGATATTCGAAATGCACATTTAGGAATACAGAGTAATCAACGTGACATTAAATCTCCATCTGATCGACAATTGAGGCAGTTTGAATGTGAACGCGACACGCAATACGATGAGAGTAAACATAGAACGGGTGAAGAAGACAATACTGACACCAACGGATGCCTTGATCAACCTTTGTACGGGAATATTCAAAATCCTCAGGGATCCACCGCAGTCCTTCATGATCTACCTAAGTTTTCTGAAAATTCTGAGGAATGCCCGCTGTTCAAAAGAAGTTTTGATGACTCAACATCTCTTTTTCAGCACAATAACTTGCAGAATCTGATGCGTTTACGAAAATGCTTGGTTGGGGAAGCCAAAGAAACAGCGGCATCCCTACTTGTATATCCCGATATATTCCGAAGGACGAAAAGAAGTAGTGAACCAAGTATATGGCCTAAGGACCCCAAGATGGGCAGCAAAAAGTCCAAAGTGGACGGCAGCACCGCCAATGTGATTAACACCGTAGAGATCGTTGACCACAAGAACGATATTCAAGATGTCAACAAGACCATGAAGGTCATCGTTGGACTACTTTTAATTCTAGTGATCCTTGGGGTGGTTAAGATGTACAAGCGCTCTGTTCAGAGACGCCGCGACCAACATCACGCCCTGGAGAAAGTGGTGACCCACATCGGAGCATAAGCCGAGCAGATGCAGTGAAGTGAAGCATCAAAAAGACAATAAAAGGCGAATAAATTGCACTCCAAAATTATAAACAAAAAGTGAATCGCCAAAATCAATTATAAACAATTTTCGAGTACATGCATTTCTGAATGCAAGTGTAAACAGAACCCCCAAATACACACGCTGAACAAGAAATTGAAGCTGCACCGAGCAGCCACAGCCCGAGCATTGGAACTGACGTGTGCCGCAGTGGAACTCTCATACGATGCATAGATACATACATATCTATACAGCGATAGTGGTATTTTTTTTTGTGTAACGTAATTTGTGTGTTATGTTTTTGTGAACCGCCATCAAATCTTGCACGTATATATATATATAATCCCATTATAACATCTCCCAAAGCCCAGGATCCGGAGCGTCGAGGTCTCATCGCCCAGGATTAAAAGGAGGGTAAGATGGTCGGAACACGGTTCCTTTCTTATAAATAAATATATATATATATCCGTGCACCATGATCACTTCAGAAGCTTTAGCAAAGACTATAAACAATGATCCACAGTTTAACGTAAGAATTCTATACTTGTTATCCGAAGCAAAATTACCAATAACTGTGCATGAATTAGAGTACTTATACATTGAGACCTTCCGTCTAAATTTTTCACCACTTGCCCACTGTAACAAGACCGAAAAGGCAATCATTATCTCTACCGTTCCAACGGTCATTGTCCTTTCCCGTTTAGATAAGAATTTATTTTTGGGCAATGTTAATACCTTCCTAGTTAAGACCAAGAATTAATCTTTTAGGAATTCGTATAATAATATTCAAATATAATAATTAATCATATATAATCATTTAGATATACATTCCTCTTTTTATACATTTTAAATTTTTATATATAATAATTAAATGTTAATTTTTCAGCGGGGAGTATCAGTCTTGTAATTGTATGTCAATTGCAAGAGCCCTCTGAGCGACGTTTGTAGTCGTGAATAGTCAGCATTTTGCTGATCTTTCCATATGAATTAGCCAACATTATGTTACTTTTCCACGGCGCACGCCGATATAAGTATTACCCAATAAATTTGTAATGTAAAAGAATATCAAAACATGAAGTGCTAGAGCTTTATTAAGGGGGGTGTGCTGACGCCAGAAGTGGAGTAGGTCAAGAACAATGACATAACTTGACAATAGGGGATCGTATTGCGGCGCCCGCGTCGATCCATTGGCACACGAATGTGTGAAGGGGAGGGAATATGGCCAAAACACAGCCCGATCGTATTGCGATCAAGTGACAGCTAAGCTTGTTGGGCAGTGTGGACTGATGACTGACGAAATTTATGACTAATATTATTTTCCAGGCACTTTTAATATTTATTCTCTTTATGTTGGAGATGAGAGAAGCTTACCAAGATCGCCGACGTAGCTTATGCCGGCAAATGGTGCCTGAACATCGGACGCCTCTCCCTCGGCCCAAGTCCCTGTCAGGACTCGGGCACTAATATGCCCACGTAATTATAATTTATATAATTTTAAATATGCACCTACTTACTTGTTTGTCTTTAAATTAGTAACTGTAAAGCCCCCAACTTCTGAGAACGTTAGTGTTGAGAGGCCACTCAATCAGAACTTTGTCGCAGGATAGAGACCTGACTTTGAAATGTTTTTTTAATCGTAGAATTTCCTGTTGTGTTCATGAGCAAATTTACCAGAATTTCCTAAAATCAAGAACTATGAGTTATCGTTTTTATAATACTATACTCACAACTGCGTGCTGAGTGAATATTTGTTGAAATTTACGTAAGTACAATTTATAGGTGCTTTCTGGTCGACGCCCCACGAAGAACTAGGCATTTGTCAGGTCGTTTGATAGGTTCGAGTCCAGAAAGAGCAGGAGAGCAAGCATTACGGTAACGCATTTAGCAGTTGCGGTGCGGGTCTACTGCTCGTTTGTCGATCCAGGACTCAATGCGAGGTGGGGGAACTGACATGAAACGCAATGCCGACGCCCCACAACGTACTAGGCATTTGTCCGGTCGTTTGCTGGGTTCGAGTCTTTGCGGTTTCCCTTGACATATTTGGGCGGACGCCTTTAAAAAAAGGCCCAATCATATAAATGAAGATGGCCAAGAAGAAGGTCCGCAATTGACTTAAGAGACGCCTTTTGGCAGATACCTCTCGAAACCAAAAGTAGAGAGAAAACCGCGTTTACAGTGCCCGGCAGGCCACTGTGTCAGTTTACAGTCATGCCGTTCGACTTGTGCAATGCCGCGTAGCAAATGTGCCGACTAATGGATAAAGTTATACCAGAGGCGGATGACTTACTGGTCTGTTTACCTACATTTGAAGCCCACATTGATATGTTGAGCCAGGGCAGAGCTAACAATAGATGTAGACAAGAGCAAGTTTTGCTGCAGCCAGGCAAGATATTTAGGATATGTAGTTGGGGAAGGACGCATCCGAACGGATGATGCGAAAATACAATCGATCCAGGAATTTCCCCAGCCTAGCTCCGCCAAACAGATGCGGAGGTTACTGGGAATAACTGGCTGGTACAGGAGGTTCATCCAAAACTACACCCAGACAGCGGCACCGCTTCACCGCTATCTCTTATAGTTTTCGAGATCTCAGCGTTCATCCGAACAGGTGGACAGACGGACATGGCTAGATCGACTCGGCTAGGGATCCTAATCAAGAATATACATACTTTACGGGGTCGGAAACGCTTCCTCCTGCCTGTTACATACTTTCCGACGAATCTAGTATACCCTTTTACTCTACGAGTAACGGGTATAAATATATCTATAGCAGTGATTATTTCCTAAAGTCCCGTCGGTACATCTAAAAAAAGTTTCGGCTATAAAAACATGATTTAAAATAATAAAAAGAATTAAAAGCTTAAAAAAAATTAAAAAAACCTATCAAAAATATAAAAAAAAAAGAAAGTACAGCTAAAAAAATATACAAAAAAAACAAAACTATAAAAAAAAACTAAGTTGAATCCAGCCTCAAAGTGGACTCGAACCTGGAACTCGAACCCAATATCCACGGACCACCAACCAGTCCGTATATGAACCACATGTGCAATGCGTCTTTTAGATCGATTCCTTTTCGTCAACATAATTCAAGAATCGACAATTGAGACAAAAGTTGAATTTTTGACTTTTTCCCAGTGCGGAGTGGGAGAGAGAAGGAAGCAAAGCAACGGCATTCTAAAAATAGATTCCCATACTTGTGAGGGTTGCTTTGCAAAAATTACGCCTATGTACATCTTGGTATTCTATGGTCTTTGCACATTCGGCCAGCGAGCCGATTTTTAGACGCAAATTAAAGTTTTAAAGCTAGGTTCTTCAAATTTGGTACATATGATGTGTCGATGCACATAAAAATATATCTAAGTTTCAGACCGATCTGATCACGCCCATATGCGATAGGTTTCCTCTTATTGATAATTGTACGGTAATAAATAATGCTAGAACTCGTTTAATTCAACAAATGTTTTTAATTCATTTTTTAAACACTTAACCTTAATATTAATAAGTAAAAAATAACAATGCATTTAAAATGACTATGAATAAGTATTTTACATTTAAAAATGTTCCTAACAGTCGTCTTCTACATCAATTTCTATTGAAAACGGATTTTCAGAGTCAGAATCTGAATCACTATCACTATTGCTAGTATTAAAATCGGGAACATTGTTATTATTGTTCATGTTACAAGAATATAGCAAGTTTGGTGATTCCAAAAGTTGTATTACGTCTGCTGGTAGGGGTAGTTTATTTTGCTGAACCAATCTTTTTGTTAGATAGATGCTCGACACAAGAGGATCTGAGGAATCCATTGCTCTGTGGAAATCGACTGCCATTATATATTGTTATATTGTTTTATAAAAGTAAATTATTTGATTATAGTAAAATTAAGTAATTTGGATTTACTTATAATGTTATGTTTACTTATTATACATTTTTATTACAATATATTTTTTAGTGTAATTATAGAAAATTAGTCCGTTAAAATTGATTTCAATATTTAAAACATTAGTAGTATTAGTATTAACATTTTTAAAAAATTCGTATTGTATTTCTTACTTAAGAAGTACAAATTATATAGTCGGATATATTTCGCCTTAGAAAGGGTATAAGTGCAGTTGCACGCGCCAACAGCGAAGAGAAAACAAAAGAAATCAAGTAAAGGTGTGAGAAGACTTGGTGCATTCTAATTGAGTGATTGAAAGGGAAGCATCCATGTTAATTGTGCGCAGAAGAGTTACTTTAGTCGTCTCTTTAAGTTAATATAATAAAGTCAGGTAAGTGCTACGTTAAGTTTTAGATGTTGTGCATTGATCTTAGTTTAAAGTACGTAAATTTTGAAGGTATTCAATGGGTTCCGTTAGCCGAAAGTGGATGACGAAATGTTTTGATCCAATAAAAACCCTGCAAAGGGTTAAACACAGCTATAAAAGGTAAATATACAATTAAACAAATAAAACGCATTTTTTAAACATATGTTTTTTCAGGAGCGTTGGACAAGGATTCAGAGGACCCGGACAAAGGTTTAAGAACGGCGATGACTAACGTTTAAAATAAGCTTACGAAGCAAAAAAACAGAAACAATAATTGTACAATTTTTGAAAATCTAAATAATACCATATAATTAAAATGAATTAAAATGAAATTAAATATGTATGTATTTTAAATTCTATATTTTTATAATTGAAAACTCAAGGAAAAATTCTGATTTTCCGAAGTGATTCACTTGGGACGTGTCCCTTGCAAGTGATTTCACAAGTGAAAACTCAAGGAAAAATTCTGTTTTTCCCAAGTGATTCACTTGGGACGAGTCCCTTGCAAGTGATTTCACAAGTGAAAACTCAAGGAAAAATTCTGATTTTCCCAAGTGATTCACTTGGGACGTGTCACCGGCACGTGACAGGCAATACGAAAAATGAGTATAAGGAACAAGTGAAATCCCGTAGGAATTCGAAAAATTTTCATTTGAATTTTCACTTGTGAAAATGCGGACATCCCATACAATTTTCTATATGGGACATGTCCCAGGTGATTCCCAAGGTGATTCACAAGTGAAACTTTTTTTTTTG